CACTGCTTTAAGGGATAGGGTTTAATTAAGAGAATCTGGGGGAGGAAGCCGCAGCTGGGGACAGCCAGCTGTTCATCCTGTTGCACTTTCTCGTAACAGGTGAACTTGCTGTGCTCTGTCTGCAGCTCCTTTTTTCCTGGTCCCCGATTCTGTAGAGTGAGGCTCTCCCCCATTGCACCACCTCTCAGGTACCGCAGCAGTGCGTCTCATCCTGTACCCCCTTCACACCCAACAAAGCCCCAAGCTTCCCACAGCTCCATCTTTCAAAGATACTGCCTGTAGGAACCTTTTAAAAGATAAATACTCAGGCCAGGTTTGGTGGCACCATCTGTAATCCCAGCATTTAGGAAGTGGAGGCAAGGCGATTATCACAAGTTCAAAGCTAGCCTGGTGTACATACTGAGTTTGAAACCAGCCAGGACTGCATGGTGAAACCTTGTCCCAAGAAAAGATAAATACACTGAGGCTGTGTAGGAGACCTAGGGTTTCCTAGTCTGATTGCCAGCGCAGATTACAGGCTGCAGACATTGTTCACAGAGGCATGAAGGTGGTCTACACACCTGTCAAGGTCGCTTCGACCTCTTACAGGTGTAGCCAGCCACCCCACGTGCCTATGACTTAGCAGTGACACCTCTGATGGCATGTGCACCATCTGGAACCCTGGGTTAGTGTGCTTCCCAGTACCTGACCTTGGACATTGGGGCATCATCAGCTTCTATGTGGGTCTCCTGCCATGAAGGAAGCAGTGTCATCCTTTGGCTTACAGAACAAATTGGATCATAACCTTTATTCAGTGTAAATCATTCAGATAAATGATAAAACTTTATCATTTATTATTAGGTATCACTTAATGAAAAGTGGGACAGAAACTTGAATTTAAGACCAAAACTGTTGCTGAGGCACTGGTTTGGTCTTCTGAGTTCAAGAGGAGACCTCTTGGTCTGAACTCTCGTCAGCCCGATGCCAGGGTGACCGACCAAGAGGATCCATGCACTCACTCACTCTAGCTAGTGGGACTCGGCAGGACCTTCTGTCACTTGGCTGATCCCATCCCTCAAGGAGGGGTGGAACCAGCCCCTCTCATGCCTGCGGGCCACAGTGCCACCTGCAAGGTACTCGTGCTTGGTGTGAAGTCTCCTCAGATTTAACTTAGTCATGTAACATTACTTCTTAGATCCTGAAATTTATAATAAAAATACTTTTAACTACTCTGATCACCGAGAGCTGATGTTTTAAATGTGCTTGATTTTTTTTAAATTATTTTTTTAAAAAAACTATCCCTAAAGTATTTCAAAGAGTTGATGAAGATGAGATTACAGCATGTGTGTCCTGTCCATGTGTCCCACAGCGATGCCTTGTTGCGAGTTTGTGTCCCATGTAGGGAGTGATGGGTATAAGGACTTTAGTGAAAGTGGAGATGATGGGAGTAGTTTCTTCAGTTCTCATAGGTGACATGGCCCTGTATTCTGTCTCATGGGTCAGAGACTGGTGGGTGAGCTTGATTTTTTTTGTTGAAGATTTTTCTTCTATTGTTAGCCCTTTGCAGCTTTGGCTTCTCACACCCACTGGTGTGGCCCATTTAAGGGCTAACAGCCTCGTTCATGTGGAGTGACTAAGAAGTCAGGAACAGGGCAAATGTGATTCTGAGCTAACGGCTTGTTGCTGTGTCTTACTCCCTGTGAACACTAGCCTAATTTACCCAGGTGTATTTTTCTGGGTGATGGTAAGTAGGTAACTTCCCAATGGCTCTCTCCACAAGGAATGTTATCCCTGGGAGATAGGCATGTGGTATTTCATTGCCCTGTGCTTGGCAGTGGGACGGAGTAGCCACCACAGGGTGGTTCTGTCACCACAGTTGCTAGGTTTGCCATTACTTTAAATAAATTAAATAGGCAGGCTCCCTATGTAGCCTAGGTTGGTCTTGAACTTGTAGTCTAGCCTCAGGACTGAGATTACAAGCATGTGTCACCACACCTGGTCTTGCTGTTACTTTAAAATTAGTTGTCAAGTCCTTTTCTTCAGGGGGACTGATAGTGGGAGGCTGTTCTTGCCCCAGACTACCGATTCAGAATATATTCAACTTGATTAGGGAACACACAGCATCAGAATCCAGTCAACACAGCTCCTTTGGTCTTTGTGAACTAGAGGGACATTTGACTAGTTCTGTAGAGACAGATTGTCACCTCTGTGCGTACTTCGTGCTGGGACTGCTGCATACCAACCAAGTGCTCTGTCCCTCCTACACCGCAACCCTTCATAGAAATCTTAACTGCTCCACTCAGTGAAACGACTGATGCTCACTTAGCCAAAAGCCAGAGGGGTTTTCCTGACAGAAACACCACAACTAAAGGATACCAACTTAATCTTCCGTACCGAAGTGACAAATCTGAGTCCAGAGTGCCTTAGCCTGATCATCACTGCCTTCTAGAAGATTATCTAGATCAGCGGTTCTCAACTTGGGGGGCCAAGACCCCTTGGGGTGTGTGAGTGCCCAATATCAGCCAGCATATCGGGTATTTACATTACAATTCATAGCAGTAGTAAAATTGCAGTTATGAAGTAGCAATGGGCATAATTTTATGGTTGGAGGTCACCTCACAACATGGAAGGTTGAGAACCCTGCTCTAGATTCGCACACTCATTTGGCCTGGTTCATGTAAACCTCACCCAAATCGTCCTGGCCCTCTTGCCTGTGTTCCAGTCCCTGAAGGGATCATTTGTCCTAGGGGGAGTGAAGTCCTCAGAGCCTCGCCCTTGAAACCCCAGCTGCCACTGCTCCTCTTCACCTCTGTGTGAAGTCAGTCAGAACACAGTGCCCCTTCTGGCTTTTGTTCCCAAGGTGACGTGGGCATTTGACATTTTAAGAGCTACTTTATAGAGACTACACTTTCTAGCTAAGAAAAAAGTCCTTTATTTTAGGTCTTCATTAATTCCTCGAGCTCTGCTCAGTAGTATGATCAGCCCTGCCCCCCCCCCCACACACACACACTTAGCAACGGTACAGCACTGAGAACCTCCATTTGTGAGGTGACTGTAGTGTGCCTCAGTAGTATACCTTCTAAGTGAGCTTTGTGGGGGCCTTTGCCCCTTTTGCTGATATTGAGTGCTTAGGAATACATGCCAGAGGCTGGAGGACTTTCATACCTACAGCTCCTTCAGGTCCTAGGAGCCGTTCATCCTTCACTGAGTAGGAATCTACCTAGAACCCCCGGTTTATCCAGTTGCCTAGCTTATCAGGTGCAAGGCAGTGAGTGAAAATTCCTGATTCCAGGCCATGTGCTTTTCCTAGTGACTGCACTAGTTTTGGGGAGTCCCCATCAATAGCTGTCTCAGTTTATTGCACACAGCAGGCAAGGTGCAGCCTATGCTCCCATATAGGCTAGTCTATACTGAACTCACTGAATACAGAAATCTAAGGAATATATATATACACACAGACTTCGGATTGCACCGTTGTCCCTTTAGCCATTGGGTGAGGTGCCTCAGGGCTACCCTACCGCATATGATTATTCAGTAGCATTTTTATTTAATGTGCTGTCTCCTTGCCAAGAACAAGGTCAGGCTATCTGACACAGCTGCCATCACCAGACATGCACTATGACAGGTGAAGGCAGCCACTTGACACATCTCTCCCTTTTGGCAGGTTTTTTGGTTGGTTTTTTTTTTTTTTTTTTTTTTTTTTTTTTTTTGGAGACAGAATTTCTCAGTAGCTATGGAGCTAGTCCTGGAACTCCCGCTGTAGACCAGGCTGGCCTCAAAGTTGAGATCCGACTGCCTCTACCTCCCAAGTATTGGGATTAAAGCATGTGCCACTACTGCCCAGATCCTTTTTGATCCCTTGTGGTGGCCATCAATCAGTCCAGGGTAGGCATATGGAGGTATATAGGGACACCTAGAGGATTTTGGATTCTTGGCACTCTGACTCAGGGATGACCAGATAGTCTTCCATCTTACTCATTTGACAAGAGTGCTTTCCAGTGAAATCCTACCACAGAACAGTGCTGCGTCCATCAGAATCCACTCTGGTTTTACAGCTATGTAATCTTTAAGTAGAGTTGCATGGAGAGCTAGAAGCTGTTGTTGAAGATGAACACACTGTCTTCTTCACACAGCCTTCCCTAAGCCCCATCTTGGCTTGCCATGTCCCATTTGCCAGTTAGGGCCCTTCCCATGCCCATGTTTACACAAGGCCCAGCCCCTCGGCTGCTTCAGTATTGCTCAGGTCAGAACTGTCTCAGGGATACTTGCAAGGCCGTGACCCAAGTCAGAGCAGCCAGCTTGGGATTCTCCTGTTCTCTAAGAGGGTATTTTAGACACTGCTTCTACAGACCTGGTTTTTGCGTCACAGAAGGACCTGGTTGCTGGACACATTCCTCCAGGGAACATTTTGACATGAAAAGCTATTAATTTATCTAGGTGTGTGTGTGTTTGTGAGTCAGAGGATGACCTGGAGGTCAGTTTGTTCTCTCCTTTGGTCATGTGGGTCCCGACACCTGGTGGGAGACACCTTTACTCATGGAGCCATCTTGCCAGCACTGGATTTTGTCATTTTGAGATGAAAGGTTTGTGGAGGCCTTCCTCACCCAGGAAGGTGAGCTACATCTTCCCTTAGTGAGGCTACAAAGGTCTGTCTGGTCCCCGTGTACATGGGCCATTTGTTGGCCAGCACGGAAGGAAAAGAAATTTTTTTTTCCTCAACCTGTGTTTTCCCTGCTCTTGTAATCTTTCTCCCTTCAGATTAAAAGTGCCTCTTTCTCTTAACTCCTTGGTTACACTGTTTGTTACTGGTTCTAGTACCTAGTTGTCCACCCTCCCCAAAGTACTGGAATGGTATTATTAACATAGCGGAGTCAGGCAAATATAGCTGTTAAGATGTTTGCCCAGGGTACATGAAGTTCTGGGTTCAATCCAAGCACCACATTAACTGGGCATGGCATACATACCTGTAATCCCAGCACTCAGGTAAAGGAAGGAAGATGATGTTCAAGGCCAAACTTGGCTAAGAGCTAAAGGTCAGCTTTTAATACATGGGATCCTATTTTTAAAAATAAATTAATTAAAATTACCATGGAGCATGGTGGCATAGGTCTTTAGTCCCAGCACTCGGGAGGCAGAGGATCTCTGTGAGTTCAAGGCCAGCCTGGTCTACAGAGTTAGTTCCAGGACATCCAGAGCTGTTATACAGAGGAACCCAGTCTCGGAAAAAACAAAAAGCCAAAAACAAAAATTATCGTTAAGCGTTTGACTCAGGCAGCAATCACTTCCAGTGTGCTTGTCAGCTCTGACCGCAATTGTCGGACTTGCTCAACTCATTATTGTGAATTGTTTTGGCTCCTTTCCCATCCTGCTGTCTACTTTGTGCCCAATCTGTTTTTTATGGGAAGTGACAAAAGTCTACAAACTGCTTTCAGTCAGAAGCAATGTCTGGAGCAATCACCCTGGAGGTGACAATAAAATGAGATTTTTATGGTATCCGGTGACTCATCTTTGTCCACTACTCTTGATTTTGTAGTCTTCCATACTTAAAGTGTGTGCATTCTTGGTTTGCCGCTCAGTTCTGAAAACACAACCCTGGCATTCAAAATCACGTCTCAGTTGCCGGTGAGCACAGTTAGTGAAGTCGCTGGAGTAAAGGCAGCCTTAGGAACTGTGACCCCAAACACTGGTGTTTATGCTGGATCCTGAAGGTCAGGTCAGGAGCGGTGTAACCTGATGCACTCCATCATTTAGGAGATGTCGCTATGCCAGCATCCTTTAGAGAAGAAAGCCTTTATTTTGAAGAAGCAAATTTCTATCACTTAAACCAATTCACATATTTTTAGAACAGAATGAAAAATATCTCTGAATTAAAATCATCCCTCAATTATACCCATACAAGGATCATGTTTAAAGAAAAATCTACCCGTTCCCACGATACACCAAACCGTCATGGCTGGGATGAATTAAAAACATGGGAACACTTAGCAGGTAGTGGTGGCTCATGCCTGCAATCCCAGCATTAGGAAAGTTAACAGAAAAGTCAACCTGCATTTGAGGATACATGGTTAGACCTTGTCTTTCAAATACAAAAGCAAAGAAGGGACATTTGGCTTTGATACATGGAATCTTTCGAGAATGTTGGCCTGGGGAGAAAGAACACAATTTTGCTTTACCACCAAGGAAGTGTATCAGCCGTGACAGGAAATCACCTCTGTGAGCTTGACTAAGACGGTGGCCTGCTGCACTGCAAGCCCAGTGGGAGGTGACGATGCTACTGTTTGGATTACTGGCTGTTTTAGGTCTCTCTCCTATTCATTCTGGTTGACTCTGCTACTACACTTGTTCCTTGTGTAAATGTGTTCCCTAGCAAGGAACTGGTTGTAAATTACACACACAGACGAGTTGTGTGCACAACTGTTTGTTCCCACTGGGATGGAAATCTTTAGCAAACAGTCCCCTGAAACAGCTAAACCCTTATGTATGGGTGGGTGCGGAGGGTGGTCAGTGCTGCTCATGGTTTTGAGAACAGAATCATAGTCTCAAACCTCATTGCCATTCGGCTTTTTACAAAGGAAGGCTGTGGTCTTCTGAGCACTGGGTAGAATTCTCACTCTTGGGCCAGTGCACCGCTCCTAGCACTGTTCTGAAACAGAAGCCCGTCTGCATGATGAAGACAACATCCCAGAGCTAGCCTCTTGTGAACAGTAACGTCACATTACAAGTAAGTTTTTCTGCCTTACAACCTGCTTTTACGTTTAATTTCCAAGAGGGAACCTGTACAGCTGATCAGATAAAGGTACAAGGTGTGGGTGCAGGAACTGGCATGAGCCCTTCAGATACACGCATACTGGCATCTTCATTAGACTAAATTTTAAGTAAGTCACCAGCTCAAAACATTGTCCTGAAAACAGGGAGACAGCCATTATCTGGGAGCTGTCTTCACTCCAACATGTGTTTACATGGCCACGTTCCTTTGGAGGAAGCTTCACTGTTCTTGCCATGTTGGGTCTCAGGCAGTCAAGCTTCTGCAGGCCTCCTTCAGTCCATCCCCTGACAAGAGAGCAGTGGAGTCAGTCACATTCTAGGATTCAGTGCTCTACAACACAAGTGCCGCCCGCCCAGCCCTGGCTGTGCTCATCAAACTGATGGCTGTCCACGCAGAGACCGGGGCTCAATCCCCAGCTCCCTGCCCATGTGTGGTGGGTGGTGCATGCCTGAAGTTCCAGCACTCGGGAACTGAGGCAGGAAGATTGTTTTGCCTCACATGTCTTCTCAAGACGGAGTGTGGACTCTGCCTTGAACAAACAACCTCCTCCCCCAAAAAGGGACTCCTGGGTAGTGTTTCTGACATGTTCTAAAATTCCAAACATTTGCAAATATTATTACAGGTTACATCTATCCATCTAGCTTCCACTTGGGTTTGAGGAAGTAGAGCATGGGACTTTAAGGACACTTGGCCCTTTCTGAGCAGCAGAAAGACTGAGTTTGGGCTTAGCCTGATGTAAGTACTATTCCTAGCATGCACAAGGTCCCAGAGTGCATTCCCAGTGCCACCAAAATAAAAACGCATGGCTACCCTTGCAATGGATGTGTCTTCAGGTCACTGGAGAGCTCGGGTAGCCTTTCTCACAATCATTTATTATCCCTATTAGCTTCTCTCCATCATCCTTGGGTAGCATACTTTTTTGTTGTTGTTGTTGTTTTTTCGAGAGAGGTTTCTCTGTGGCTTTGGAGGCTGTCCTGGAACTAGCTCTTGTAGACCAGGCTGGTCTCGAACTCACAGAGATCCGCCTGCCTCTGCCTCCCAAGTTCTTGGATGAAAGGCCCACTGCCCAGCTGGGAAGCACACTTTTAAAGAATTTAAATTATAGCCAGTGAGATGGCTCAGTGGATAAAGGCGTATATCACCAAGCCTGATGACCTGAATTCAATTCCTGGGACCACAAAGAGGAAGAGAACGGTGCCCACAAGTTGTCTTCTGATCACATGTGCTGTGGCAGCACAGGCATGCCCCCACACAAACTACATACACATACAAATTAATGTAGGAACTTTTTGATTACTTCTATTATGCCTGGGGCTGTGGAGATGGGGCAGTGAGCCGCTATGCAGGCATGAAGAGCTGAGTTCAAATTGCTAGCACTCACGTGAAAACCAGACCTGGAGGCTGGAGAGATGGACCTGTCCTTAAGAGCACTGGCTGCTCTTCCAGAGGACTCTAGCTTAATTCCCAGCACCAATATTGTAGCTCACAACCACTGCAACTCCAGTCCTAGAGGCTCCAACACCTTCTTCTGGCCTCTGCCGACATCAGGCACACACACGGCACATAGGTAAGGCACCAATACATAGAAACCAGAAGCAAGTGGTGGCACTCATCTGTAACCCAGTGCTGGGGAGGGAAGGGAGGCAGGGGGAAGCCCAGGACTCGCTGGCCAGCTAGTTTAGCTTCACTGAGACCCTACCTCAGAAAGACAGGTTGAACAAGACAAAAGAAGACACCTGGTAATGTGCTCTGGCTTCCACAAGCACCTCCACACATGCTGACACTCATGCGCACACCACACGCATACTTAAGCTTAGGTTTGTGACAGTACAGAGTAGCCCAAGGGAGCTGGGCCCTTGGCCATCATTCTTCTCACTCCATGTCTCCCCACTCTGCTCGGGTCCCACCGTGTGTGAAACAGCCTTTGCCTCTCATCTGAACACAGCCTGTGGTCAGTGAGAAAGGAGATGAGACGGGGAGAGAGGACTTCAGCAGGGGGCTCTGCTGGACTCTCAACAGTCAAGGGAATAGGGTAGGAAAGCAGGCAGGGACCATGAGCCTCCACGAGAAGCCAGGAGCTGCTGTCACTGGTCCTTACATTCCTAAGTAAGTTCCTCACAGAGGTGAATAAATTCTGGTTAATAAAGTTCACTGTCGTTCGGAAGACATCACGGAGCAAGGACGGCTCATGACTGGCCACGCTTTTGGCCAGCAGCAAGGTCATTATCAGCATGGCCTTTTCATTCTCCATGTCTCTAGGGAAGGCCGTCTTCACCTCATCAAGGGCTTTGGCCAGGCAGTTCCGTCTGTCCTGCACGTGAGAAAAAGACTGTTTACTGATGCTCTTCCCTCAGAGGGACTGAACCAGGGGAAGGAGAGAAGCCTTTTAGAGGGAGTGGTGATTACACAGCTAAGAGCATCGGGCAGAGGGAATGGTGGGGAGGCCACGGGGCACTCACCCACCAAGGCGAGTTTACCGAGCAGCCTGTGCACACTACTGAGTGCTCCCTGCAATCAGCTCTTATAGATCTGGCTGTTCAGGAGGGTGTCTGGGGCTCATCTTACTGGTGTGCTTGGCTTTGGGGACTACGTTATCTTTCCTTAAGTGGGAAAGGCAGACACTAGACCACGAGACCTGGAGAGATGGCTCAGAGGTTAAGAGCATGTACTGCTCTTCCAGAGGACCCGATTCAGTTCTCAGCAGCCATAGGCACGGTGAGTTCACGATGGCCTGTAAGGCCAGCTCTAGAGGACCTGATGTCTCTGCCTGCATCACAAGCATGTGCATGTACTCACACACAAGGCACACACATAGAGACTTGTAATTAACTTTAAATGTTTTCAGAAAGGGGATGGAGCGGTGGCGGCACACATCTTTAATCCCAGCACTCGGGAGGCAGAGGCAGGTGGATCTCAGTGAGTCTGAGGCCAGCCTGGGCTACAGAGCGAGGGCCAGGACAGCCAGGACTACACAGAGAAACCCGGTCTCAAAAAAAAAAAAAAAAAAAGAAAGAAAGAAAGAAAGAAAGAAAGAAAAGGGTGGGGTGGGGAGTAGAGATCTTCAGGTTCTGTGGCTCACATTCAAAATCTCCCCCCTAGGAGGAGTCCCAGACAGATGGCTCTATGTCCTATGACAGCGGCAGGAGAATGGCGGGTGTTGAGAGTGAGTGAGCCAGCATAAAGACAGGCTGCATGGAGGCACAAGGAATCTAGATGGGGAGGGCACCCAGGATTCAGCTGGTGGAAGCTGAAAGAATAGTCTCCCTCCTCTATCCTTTCCAGAGGCAGGGACATCACAGCTCGGGGTTTGGTGTTCTCTCTCTCTTCCCTTCCGGAAGGACACAGTACTGAGAAACAAGCTTTGGCAGAGTCTTGTCAGTTTCTATGTGCTGATATAATTGCAAAGCCAAGCAGAGGAGCAGGCTACACTGCCGCTCTGGGGAAAATGACATCGAGGTCTTTACTGGTATCTTTACCTGACTCTCCAAAGTGAAGACCAAGTCTTCTTATAAGGATCAGGCACTTTGATCCTCTAAGTCCTGGACTCTGACTTACCAGATCCTACATCTCAACCGACTGAATTCTTTGGAGAGACCATGCTGGTGGCAGTCAAGGACAGGACTCACTTCCTGACAGAGTGGTTCTACAAAGGGAAATGTCCCCACACATCCCAAGTGCCCTTGAAGAGAAGCTAGAGGGCTGGAGTCACATACTTACTTCCTCCGACAGGCTGACGTTCATGAACTGGGCCGCCAGCTGTCTCACCAGTGTGGGCTGGATGCTGTGGTTTAACTCATCGCCTACTTGAGCGAGATGATGGGCAATTCTTTGGATGACATCTTCCTGGCTTTCAGAATCTGAACATTCAGGCAGCAAAACACAAACAAGACTCAGCAATGGTCCAGGTCAACAGCTTCATGCCACTTCCTATCACCACACGTGCCCTAGTGGGGACTGGCCACCGATGGCCTGAGTCCAGGGAAGGCCTGAGGCTGGCTGGAGAAGCAGGCCTGTCCAAGACTATACACTTGCTGCTGCTGGGAAAAGGCCCAGAGCTGCAGCATCCCCAAAGGCACCGCTGAGATGAGCCTGGGGCCAGTCTGGCCGGCCCTGTTTCCTCTCAAGCTGCCCCTTCTGTGGTTTCTGATGTTGCCCTGCCTCTCTACTGCCTAGCCCTACTGTGTGGTCTCTGTCCCAGGCTGCTCCCTTTCTTTCTTTTTTTAGGCACTATGCGCTTTTATCCATGTCTGTTGTCTGACACAGCTGCTTAAACCTAAGCTTCTGAAAACTGTAATTCTGTTTAAATAAATAAATGAGTGTCTTGCCTGCCTGCACGTCTGTGTAACTCCTATGTGTCTGGTATCCATGGGGGTTAGAAGAGGGGATTGGATCTCCTGGAACTAGGGCTGAGAGCCACCATGTGCATGGAGGAATTGAACCTGTGTCCTCTGCAAGAGTAGTAACATGCTCTTAGTCACAATCTGTCTCTCTAGTTCCCAAAAAACTAATTTTAAAATCCTTTGGTTTACTGTCAGATAGCCAACACTTAAGAACAATACATGAGTGACATATAGTTGGTGCTCAGTTAAGTGATTTTATGAGTAAGCGAATGAATGAATTACAGACTTGTATGTAACCTAAAAAGTGCTCGGTAAATATCACTGCAGTTTTGTTTGAACCCCGTGGCTTTCCACTTATCCCGACAGGGACGTGCTCCCTCCCTCGGTCAGCTGTCAAACTGGACCTCACGATGCAGACTCACCCTGTGTCTCAGAACCAGGAAGAGGCTACAGTGAGCTGGTTGTAAGAGGACTCACTTTAAGGAAGTGGCTAGAGGCCCAAGGTACTCAACAGGAGTGAGGGAAAGACGGCTTCTGTCTGTCCTGTGCGCTTCCGTGTCCCTGCTGCTCTCACAAGGGAGCGACTCTAGCACTCAGCCTATGTACACCTGGCCCTCGCTCAGCTGATGCATGTCACACAACCACCACACTGCTCTCCTCGAGGCCTTTCCAGTGCTTCTCACTTCTGCTGAAGTGACATGTCACTACTTGGCTTCTGGTTCCCCGTGACTTAATGTTACCTCTCTTCCTGCTCATTCACTTGCTGAGGCTTCTACTCTGCCCCTCTTCCAAGTCCTATCAGACCAGACTTCTCCAAAGCCTCAGCGAGATCAAGTGTCAGCCCCACAGTCGCCTTCACTGACACCCTGTGAGTTTAGCCAGGCTCTGACGTCAGAAGTAGAAAGGAGCAGGGGAAAGACTTACACAGCAAGTTTCAGGATAGTCAGGGTAATACAGTGAGACCCTGTCTCAAAAAAATTTAATTAACTGGGGCAGGGGTGGTGTGGTGGAAGAGGCTAAAGCAGTTGCTAGTCTCCCTTACAACCAATCAAGGGCAGTGCAGCCTCTGTGCCCAAGATGCCAAGGTCAGGGAAGCTGGGCTTAGCAACAGGTACCAAGTCTAGCTTGAGAGGGTGGCTGTCTTTTGTTTGCTTGATTGCTTGCTTGCTAGCAGCAAACCCAGGGCCTTAGAAAGGCTAGGTACTCTCTACCTCTAACCCACACCTCCAGCCCCTGGCCTGCAGGTTTGGAAGGCCTTGGTCTAGGGCTTGGAGGTCCCGGAGGCCTATAGAGCAGTGACTCCAACAAGGATCAAAAATCAGCTGAGGGCCAGTGAGTTGGCTCATAGGCGCTTGCTACCAAGCCTGACAACCTGAGTTCGACCCCCGCCCAGGTCACACATGGTGGAAGGAAGGAACCAACTCTGACTCTAAACTATATATGGGGGTATGTTATGGCATGTGCATACCCCCATACCTAGACAGACATGAATTAAAAGAAAAAAACCAAAAAACCACCCAGCAGTCTCCAGCCCAGGAACACACTGGTGAGCAGAGCCCCAGGTCTGCACACTTTGAAGAACTTCCCACATAACACCAAAGTGCACGCTACCCACAAGTGCTCTGAGCAAGTGACATATCCCAGCCTTTAGGAAAGTCTCCTCCCTCTACTGCAAACACAGTAGACACAGTAGAACAGAGAGAAGTTAAGACAGAAGCTGGGAAGAGAGCTCAGGTCAGGGAAAGACAAAGTCTAGATGGCAGAGTGACACAGGTCAGCAGGGGGCTGAGCCATGTTCCTGCAGCCTGGGCAGTTAGATCTGAGGCTAATCATCTCCCTCTGCTGTGCCTCGGTTTCCTTACCCAGAAATGAGGGTCAGAATTCTTCAGTGCTCTGGTTATCTCTTAAGGTAACAGCAAGTCATATATGTTACGGTTCCATAAAGGGTGCAAAAATGACCATAAAGGTAGGGGTTTTCATTGGATTTAGAGTTCAACTAGCCTACAACACAAGGTGCTGTGGGGCTGTGTTAGAGTCGATTGGGGGCTGGGACCGGACTAGCAATGTCCCAGACCTCCCAGATCTGATGAATGGCAGGAGGAATGACGCTCCAGGTCTTTTTTTTTTTTTTTTTTTTTTTAAAATTTTTTTTTTTTTTTTTTTTTAAAGATTTTATGTATTTATTATGTATACAACATTCTGCTTCCATGTATATCTGCACACCAGAAGAGGGCACCAGATCTCATTACAGATGGTTGTGAGCCACCATGTGGTTGCTGGGGATTGAACTCAGGACCTCTGGAAGAGCAGTCAGTGCTCTTAACCTCTGAGCCATCTCTCCAGCCCTCTCCAGGTCTTTGAAATTCCCAAGCTGAAGCTAGTGGCACCTCTGGGTTATAAAATTTCCACCAGCTTCCTCTTGGCAACACTGTATGTAACTGCTTGGTACTTATGGTTAAAAACACATTCCATTATTGGTCCAGAGAGGAGACCGGAGTCCCGACCTGAAGAGAACTCAGGGCTCATCATAAGGAGGAACTTTCCAGTCAGTCCCCAAACGGATAATGAATTGGATGTGACTGGACGAAATCAAGCACAGATCACAAGACAAGTCACATGACATGCACACATGGAAGAACCTGACAATGCAGGGTTAGAGACTGAGTCCTGTAACTTCTGGGGGAGGGGGGCAGTAAAGCCTAGATATGGGGTTAAGGGGACACGGCCAGGGCCTACCTGGCTGTATTCTTCCATGGTAGGAACGGCTGGCCCGGCTGCCGTCGGTCTGCAGCTCGTCCTCGTCCGCATCCAGGTAAACTGGCACGGGCAGTTCCTGACCCAGTACCTCCAGCTCTCGGTGGAAATGATACTTAGAGTTTTGGAGGAAGCCAAACACCAGCAGGTTTGTGATGTGCTCAGTATCCAGGCCCGAGCCGTTGCTGACCTAGGATGAAAAGGGAGTCAGGAGGGCTCACGGAAGCTGGGTCAGGGTACAGCTGGACCTGAGGCTCACTACCTGTAAGAACCAATAACTCTGAGGATCTAAAAGCTCTAGTAAGAGGCCGGAAGTGGAGGCATATTCTGCAGCACCCTCTCCAACTAACGTCGCCCATAGACACCAAAGGGTGATCTATAGAACTCCTGAAAACATCTGCTGAGGAAGCCACTTCGAGGGTAAAGCCTGCACGCCTTCTCGGGGAAGCAGGCAAATGTCATCGTTTCAATTCCATCCGTATTGACACACAGAGCTGGGCCTGACTGCACTGGCTCTGTTCCCACCAACAAGTACTTCTTCTCCACATTCCCTTCAGGAGCCCATGGTGGTCCTGGCAGGCAGAGGATGCTCAATAAACACTGGGGAATGCTGACCCAGGTCAGACTCTACGTTTGCTTGCCCCCCCACTCCACTTCAGGGGGATGTGTGCATAATCAAAAACCCCCAGAGCTGGTGTGGGGGGTCTTGCTCACAGGCCTCTCTGCTCCTCACTGCAGACCTACAGTGTATCCAAAAGCAGCACCCGGGGAGGAGCACTGGGAGAAGCACTGGGAGCAACACTGGGAGCAACACTGGGGAGGATCACTACAGAGGAGCATTGGGAAGCAGCCCTGGGAAGCAGCAGTGGGGAGGAGCACTGGGGAGGAGCTCTCAGACTGCAATGAGGCCCTGCAGTACAAGAAAGCTTACAAATGACACTTGAGGTTACTTAACGTCCCTCAATTGTGCATTTAACAGATGCAATAAATGCTAACTTTGCCGGGCTTTGATGGTGCATGCCTTTAATCCCAGCCCTCGGGAGGCAGAGGCAGGTGGATCTCTGTGAGTTCGAGGCCAGCCTGGTCTCCAGATCGAGTGCCAGGACAGGCTCCAAAGCTATACAGAGACAATCTGTCTTGAAAAAAAAAAAAAGCTAACTTTGTTATTTTACTATAAAAAGTTGTACTAAAAAATTCAGAAAGTCAGAAACATTACAAAAAAAAAAAAATACAAGTTCCAATGAGGGTGGGGTCAAATGCCCAGACAAGGAGAAAATGTCAACATTTCACTGTGGCGTCAACCCTGTGGGCAAGCTACCCAACTTCTGTGCCTCAGCTTTCCAGCCCAAAGGTAAAAAGGAAGGGACAACAGCAGGAGGGATGGCAGGAGAGGGCCACTCTCTAGGGGCCCTACAGGACAGCAGGAGACAACAGCCCTGACTTGCAGACTGTGGCCACTGGAAGGGGAGACTTCGGGAGGCTCAGAGACCACTACTGCCCACAGCCTGTTCATCCCCTCACCGGGGCAGGTGGGAGCCCAGGTCTTTTCTGTTCATACAACTAGCCTCTGTGCTGCCCCCGCCACGTCTACCAGGCTGACAATCATGCCAGTCCATCCTTCTGGAAGGTCATTCTCCATTGCACACCAATTCCTATCAGGTGACAATAGAGAGCAATTCTGTTGGATACCCATGGTGCATCTCTGCAGACCTGTCAAATGAGGGGTCAGGTTGCATCATTAACAGGGACATTCAGGAAGAACAAAATGAAAAGATGCCAGAATCTAACCTGAGAGTCCATGGTACAAGCAATGCAGCTCCAGACACTGCTGGCTCACAGAGTCCAGGAAACAACCTGAAAGAGGACACAAAGATGGTATAGGTGGCTGTTCCTTGAAGCGATGCCCCTGTGGGGCCCCCATCAGGACGCTCCTACAGCTGCAGCCGAGGTCACGCCCATCCGCCACCACTGGCTCTCAGCCTGCTCTTTTGTTTGCTTCCACACAGAACCAGAGCAGCAATCTAGTCAGTCAGGTCTGCAATCTTCCTCCTTGCAGCCTCAGCTGGTTCTCCAATGGGAACCCCCAAGCCAGTTCCCCAGAATTCAGCCTTGCTACCCACACTCAGGAGACTGATCAGGCCAATCAGCGCAACCCACATGAATTCCTATAGCTAATCCTCACACCAGTTAGTGAGTTTCCCAGTTAGTCACAGACACCTACAAGATTGCAGGTCATCTACATTACAGGATCAGGGCCTTTCAACATCATCAACTCATTTCCTCTTTGCACCCACACAATGAGGCAGAGGAGACAGTGTGCGTTCCATCTTAATGAGAAGAAAATACAGTTTGGACCCGACAAGACAGCTTGGCTGGTAAAATGTGTCTGTCACTCAAGCCTCTGGCCCACCACACACTGACTGGACCAAAGCCACTTAAGAACTGAATTTATGGTGGCTCATGCCTTTAATTCCAGCACTTGGGAGGCAGAGGTAGGCTGATCTCTGTGAGTTCGAGGCCAGCCTGGTCTACAGAG